GACATTCGGATGGCGGGGAAGGAGAACAAACTGGGGAGGAGGGTGGAGAGAATGGTGCGGCAATGAAGGAGTGAAAGCCCAGAATCCCTGTGAGTGTTCATTGAAACTAATAAAATTTAATAATAATAAAAAAAAACACCACATGCAAAATAGTCAAAGTATGACCTTAAGTATATCCCATCTGAATTTGGAGACCACTTCAAGAATAGATTTGACACACTGAACACAAATGATTAAAGACCAGACAAGTTATGGGATAACATCAAAGACACTGCACATGAAGAAAGCAAAAGGTCATTAAAAAGAAAGACCAAAATGGATGTGAAGAAGTAGCTAACGGGAATGGAAGAAATGATAAAGTAAAACAGCAGAAGAGAAGATTTCAAAGACAGCTAAAGAAAACAAAGTACTGTGATAAAATGTACAAAGAGCTGGAGTTAGAAAACATGCTTAGTATTTCACAAGCTGAAAGAAATTAAGAATAATTAAAGGACTGAGTTCAATATTGAAGGATTCTATGTGCAAAACACCAAAAAAGGTATGGTCAACATTCAATCATGTCAGGAAATAATGTTTGATCAAAAATCCATAGTACTGGGAAGAAAAAAAAAGCCCAAGTTTCCCTAATGGCACTGGTGGACAGCAAAACTCCAAGAATCAGTGGAATGTTTCAACAAAAGATGCCACACTAAAGGGGCTCATCAATCTATATTAAGAAATCTTGAAGACAGTGACCTGGCCAAGTGATTGGAAAAGATCCCTGTTTTTGCCCATTCCAAAGAAAGGTGATCCAACAGAATGTTGAAATGATCAAACAATATCATTACTAAGATGTAAGTAAAATCTTGCTGAAGATTATTTTAAAATGGCTACAACAGTCCACAGACAGGGAATGGCCAGAAATTCAAGTTGGATTCAGAAGAGGACAGGAATTGAGAGCTATCATTGCTGGCACTAGATGAATCTTGGCCAAAATAAGACAAGGGTGTTTACTTGTATTCGGACAATGCAAAAGCATTTTACTGTGTTGATCACAAGTTATGGGAAAGCATTATTAAGGATAGGAATTCCAAAAAGATGCTCAATTTGAAAGGAAAAAAAAAATAGGAATTCCAGACATTTGATTGTGTTCATACAGAATCTGTGCATAAACCAAGTGATTGTCATTTGACCAGGAAAAGGGAATACAGGTTCATTTATAATCAGGAAAAGTGTGCCTCAAGGTTATATTCTTTCATTATTCTTAGTAACTCTGTATATAATTAGTAAATAATCCAAGAAGTTGAATTATATGAAGAACAACACTGCACCAAGGCTAGAAGAAGATTCATTAACAACCTGTGATATGCAGATGATACAACCATGCTTGTTGAAAGCAAAGAGGACTCAAACATTTACTAATGAAGATCAAAGATTACATACAGCCTCCAATATGGATTATACGTCCACACAAAGGAAATAAAATTCCTCACAATGGATTTAATAAGCAATATCGTAAGCAATGGAGAAAATGTTGGAGTTGTCAAGGATTTCATTTTACCTGAACCCATAATAAACACCCATGGGGGCAGCATTCAAAAAAATCAAACTATGTATTGAATTGGGCAACTCTTCTGCAAAACATTTCTTGAAAAATGTTCAAAAGTAAAGATGTCACTTTGAAGACTAAGGTGCTATGATCCAAGCCTTAATAAAGAAGATCAAAGAAGAACTGATGTCTTTGAACTATGGTACAAACAAATAATTCTGAATGAACTTCTGGAAGAACAACAAACAATTCTGTCTTGGAAGAATTATATCCACAATGCTGTTTAATAGCAAAGATGGTGAAACATAATTTGGAGCATGTTATCAGGAGGGACTAGTCCCTGGAGAAGGACATCAGAGGGCAGGGAAGAAGACTAAGACCCTCAGTGAGGTCACTGACCACAAACACAGCAACAAGAATGAGGATGTCACAGGACTGGCAGTGCTTCGTTCTGCTGCACGTAAGGTCATTTTAAGTTGGAACCAGCTGAGCAGAATGGAACCACCACAAAATAAGACTTCCCAGTTAGCCACTCAGGTACCATCCTGGCTTAACTCACTGAACAAGTGTAGGAAATCTACAGACTCAGAGTACTGCATTTACAAAATACACAATCATTACCCGTCCCAACTCATGAACACTTTGAAATTTCATTAAACCCATTTTTTTGTTTTAATGAAAAAAAAACATGTTTATGACTGAAAACAAGACTATGGCGCAAACCTTCAGGAATAAAAATCTTACATGCTGGGGCTCATCTTCTGCTGACATTGCATTGTTAACGCATAAAGCTTCTAGAAACTTCTGCTTCAGAATAATATAACGAAACCTGTGGAAAATGAAACACGAAAATCACTAAGAAGCTGAGTGGCAGCAATTTCAAAGGCTAGAAATCAAACTCAAATTCCTGAAGCAAAATAGATCAAGTTTTATGGAATAATTAATTCTTCTAAAAAATATTTTTCTAAACATTATGTTTCTGTCTGATAAGTCAAATATATTTAGAAGTGACTATAAGCACTTTTGATTTCAGAAAATTCTCCAAATAATTTCTAATCTTCTTATTACATTGAAGCTACAATCCAATCAATTTTAATAAACATTACAATTAACACTCAAAAAAAGGAATTCAAGTTCCAATATTATTTTCTTTTAAAAAAACACATTCAAGTTTTATAGAAGATATCAAAAGTCATGTAACAAAAATATAGATAGTCCATTATACTAAAAGTTCTTTTTTCCTAAAATATATCCTAATACTTTTCTTTTAATGAGAAAAATCTAATGAATATAAGGCTGAGAAGAGGGGTATGAAGAAATGGATAAAAGCGCTGGTGAAGGTAAGCAGTCTACTTGATCGAAAAAAAATTGTTATCTTAAGCTCTTTGAAGAAATAATGTTTCTAGGGGTTGATAGAAATGTAATGAAACAAATCATTTTTTCAACCATTTTTACAGTAGAAAATGTGTCAAAACAAAATTACTGCTTTCAAAAGAGAGTAACCTATTAAGATAAAAATCTACATAGTGTTCCCCAAGCTTTCAAATTATGAAGTTAAGGGATAAGAAAAGTAAAAAGGCATTGTAAGGGCTGACTGTTAAAATGACTAGAAGTGTGCCAAGGAGCTTGATGATAAGGAGCTGTTGTTGTTTGTTGTTATGTGCCGTCGTTTCCGACTCATAGCAACCCTATGCACAACAGCCCTAAACCCTGCTCTATCCTGCGCCAACCGCACCGCCTCTGACACACCCATCCCGATTACCCCAGTCACCGAATCAATCCATCTCATAGAGGGTCTTCCCCTCCTGCGCTGTCCCTCCACCCTCCCAAGCATGATGTCCCTCTCCAAGGACCCGTCCCTCCTGGCAACATGTCCAAAGTATGTCAGACGAAGCCCCAGAATCCTTGCCTCCAAGGAGTAGCTTGGTTTAATCCTCTCCAAGATGGATCTGTTTGTTTTCCTGGCAGTCCAGGGTACATTCAGTACTCTTCTCCACCACCACAGCTCAAAAGCATCCACTCTCCTTCTGTCCTCCCTAGTCATTGTCCAACTCTCTGATGCATAACAAGCGATTGCAAATACCATGGCCTGTATCAGGCGCACCTTAGTCTCCAGAGAGACACTGTTGCTCCTGAGTACCTTTGAGAGGTCCCTAACAGCAGACTTTCCCATCGTGATACACTTTTTGATTTCCTGACTGCTGGTACCAAGAGTGTTGACTGTGGAGCCAAGCAAACTGAAACTGTGAACACTCTCAATCTCTTCGTCATCCATCCTGACGCTGCTAATTGGTCCAGTGGTGAGAATCTTTGTCTTCTTGACATTGAGCCTCAGTCCATACTGAAGCCTGCAGTCCTTGACCCTTCGCAGCAAGTGCATGAGGTCCTCCTCAGTTTCAGCAAGCAGGGTTGTGTCATCTGCATAACGGAGATTGTTAATAAATCTTCCACCAATCCTGATGCCACAATTCTCCTCATAGAGCCCAGCTTCTCGGATAATCTGCTCTGCATACATGTTGAAAAGGTATGGAGACAGGATGCATCCCTGGCGTACACCCTTCCCAATTTTGAACCATGCAGTGTTACCCTGCTCTGTTCTGACTACTGCCTCTTGGTCCAAGTATAGGTTTCGTATTAGCACAATTAAATGTTCTGGGATTCCCATTCTTCTCAGAGTCAGCCACAGTTTGTTATGATCCACACAGTCAAATGCCTTTGCATAATCAATGAAACACAGATAGACATTCTTCTGGTATTCTCTGCTTTCAGCCAAGATCCATCTAACATCAGCAACAATATCCCTAGTACCACGACCCCTTCTAAACCCAGCCTGGACTTCCGGCAGTTCTCTGCTGATGTGCTGATGTGCTAAGGAGCTGTACTTAAAAAAAAAGAATAAGGAGCTGTACTACCAATCTAAAGGCACACGGTTTGAATTTGCCACATGCTGTGCATAAAAAAAGACAGGTCACTTCCTCTTGGGATTTAAATTAAATGTGATTTATTGCCTCTGAAAACCAAGTGAACGGTTAACTAGAGTAAGTTCCAACTCAATGGTGCATAACAACATAACAGTACCAACTAAGCAGAAAAAGGAGTAATGAAGAGTATTCTAGGACATATTTCTGTAGTTTGCAATTTTGTACAATTGTAGTTGTTGCTGTTGTTGTTGTTACATGCCATCGAGTCACCGGCGACTCACAGCTACCCTATGTAAAGCAGCTCTTGCCCTGTTCAGAGCCAGTCACTGAATCCAACACACCAGTCACTGCCTCACTCCATCTCATCTGAAGTCTTCCTCTCCTACGCTGTTCGTCCACCCTTCTGAGCATGATATCCTTCTCCAAGGACTGATCTCTCCTGGCCAATGTACGTGAAAGAGAGCTTCAAAATCCTAGCCTCCAAGGAGAGACCTGGTTTTACCCTCTCCAAGACAGACCTATTTGTTTTCCATGGACTCTTCTCCAGCACCACAACTCAAAGGCATTAGTTTTTCTTCTGTCATCCTTAGTTATTGTCCAGTTCTCTGATGCAGAGCAAGTAACTGCGAAGACCATGGCCTGGATTAGGTGCACCTTAGTCTCCAGACTGACATCATTGTTTTTCAGCAATCTGGAGAGGTCTCTGACAGCACTCTGTCTGGTCACCTTTTTTTTTGGAATGGGAATAAATATGGATCTTTTCCAGTCAGCCAAATTGTTGTCCCCTAGATTTCTTGGCACAATTTGTTGAGCACATCCAGGGCAGCACCTGTTTGCTGAAATATGTCAATATTAGAATGCCGAGAAGCCAAAGCAAAGGGAAGAAATCAAGAAGTTAAGGAGCTGAATAGAAGATTTCAAAGCAGTTCGGGAAGACAAGGCAAAGTATTATAATAAAATGTGCAAGGAGCTGAAGTCAGAAAATCAAAAGGCCATACTGAACAGAATATTGAATGATTCAGGGAGATTTAAAAGAAGATAGGAGTATAGAGTAAATAAGTGGCTGACACAGAAGAATTTCAAGAAACAACATATGATCAAGAGGCAATAGTGATGGAGGAGGAAATTCAGGTTGCTCTGAAGGATTTGGCAGAAAATAAATCCCCAAGAATTGATGGAATACCAACTGACATATTTGTACAGTTAGTGTTTACTATTTTTTAAAGAAAACAAGACATTTATTTAAAAAAAGATTAAACAAAAAATGTACAAAAGCAAACAGATACTCAAACAGCATGATATGACTAAAGGATTAAAAAAATGAAGTTCTATTTCTGGTAAATGTACAGTGGTTTATATATGGCTGACCTTTCCTGCAGATAACAATTATAAGCAAAGCACAAAACACAAAAACAAAACCAAAAAATATATATAAATAAAAGGGGGAGAAGGGAAACTATTTTAAAGCACTTGAGTACAACAAAACGTAAGCAAAACCAAGAAAGATGTGAAATTTGGGGGGAGGAGAGAGAAGTTCAGAGGATGAGATTCAAAGGCAGGTGGTTTTCAGGCTGACGACATGCCACGGCCCACACAATGTGAGTGAAACTTAACTAGAAAGCTGCCATTTTACAGGCCTGAAGTGACAGAAAAATGGGAGTGCTAAAGCAGGTGGATGGAAGCAGGAGTGGCACCCACTTCCTAAACAACTTACATCTGGAAACCGCATGAATTTTGATAAATGACGATAGTTACAGAAGGGCTTCAGGCCTTTAGTTCATAAGGTCACTGAGTCATGCTCAACTCGACAGCAGTCAACAACAACAACAAAGCAGGTGGAAAGTAAGGGGGCAAGGTGTCAAAAAAAAGAGAGTGACATAGTGATAAATACAGCAAAGTTTAATGCATGAACTTTGCCCAACCAATCCACCACCATCAACTTAATTTCTAATCACAGAATCTCTAAAGGACAAAGTAGAACAGCCTCCAATGGTTTCTAAGGCTGTAAATCTTTCCACAAGTAGCCTGCCACATCATTCTGTGTGGCACTGGTGAGTTTGAGCCATCAATGTTTTAGTTAGTGTCAAAGCACTTTAAGTTCTGTGTCACCAGGTTATCAAACACTTCCCAAATCTTTGGATAAACCCTCAACTGTAAAGACACAAAGGTGCCTCCCAGGAGCCCAGCAAAAGAAAGAGATGAAAAACTAAAAATATGGACAGAGATTTCAGTAGGTATCCACAATGGTCCACTATAGAGGAAGCAGACAATCCTTGCTTTTTTTTTCAATCCCTGCATTTTAAACCCAGCTAGTCAACTGTCTGCTAGAAAAGGAAAAATTTTCAAAGGAAAACAAAATAATAGAATCTATACGATTGATTCATATCATACAGAATAATATTTAAAAGAGTAACTAGACAAGTACTGAAACTGTGACTTATAGTTAAAAGAAAAGCAATCAATAGAAAATGTGCCTGAAATGCCCTAAATGGTGGGATTAGAAAGCAAGGAGTGTAATGAAGCTTCTATAAACGCATTCATAGACTTGAATAAACAGAAAGGGAAAAGAAAAAAAATAAAAAATATTTTTAAAAGAATTAAAAAGAAAATTCTGTAACTAAAAAGGACCTAAAATGGAAAATTCACTGTTAATAAGCAGATTGCTAATGGAGAGAGTCAATGGACGTGAAAATCAATATGAATTCGTTTGAAGAATATAGAAAAAAATTCTTTTCAAAAAATGAACAGAATCACAGTCCTAAGAGTTAACATCCATTTGTCTCATTTGATGTAATTAGTGTTCCTGAAGGAAAAGAGGAGATCATGGGAAATATTTAAGGAAATAATAGCCAAAAACTTCCCAAATCTTTATTTTTTTAATTGGTTTGCATTCAATAATTTGTTTACACTGTGTTTCACTGATGTACATTATGGGGTATTTTCCTGCCTCCTCCCTCCACCCACCAAACTCCGCAACCCCGTGATTTCCCTCTCTCCTCACCCTCAATCCCCTACCCCCACCCCTTCCCTCTCTGGATACCCACACTTGATAAAAAACATAATCTTAGAGATCCAAAACCTAAGCAGGAACAATGTCAGAGTACTAAGTTCCTTGGTGTGTGTCATGTTGATTCCAACTCACAGTGGCCACAGGACAAAGTGAAACTGTCTCCTCAGGTTATCGAGGTTGTAGTTTCTATGGGATCGGATTACTTTCTTCCACAGAACTGGTGGGTTTGAACTTCCAACCTTTTCGTTAGCAAGCAGATGTTTTAACCACTGTACTACCAGAGTGCTTGATAACCAGACTTAGGCACATCATCATCAAAGAGTTGAAAACAAACAATAACGCAAAAATCTTAAAAGCAGCTAACCAAACAAAATTCTCTGCCATCAAATCTATTTCCGTTCATAGTGACTCTGTAGGACAAGAGTAGAACTTCCTCACAAAGTTTCCAAGGCTGTAAACCTTTATCTTCTGCCCCACTCTTTAACTTCCTGATTTTGTCTCCTTGCTTTGGTTTCTTGATGCTCTAGTGCAATACTCAGAGTTTCTACTGACATCCATCTCAGTCTTTTCTTCCTCCTCTGTCTTTGCAATGACCTTTTGCATTTTTCTTGATATTCTTGATATCCACCCAAACCTCATCTGGTCTTGGCTCATTGGTATTCAAGGCCATAATCCTGTTCTTGAGATGGTTTTTAAATTAAAATGGGATAGACTCAAGGTCAAATTCTGGTTCTTGTGGATTTAATATTTTTGTTTTGTTTTGGTTTTTTGTTTGTTTTGGGTTTTTAAATTTTTTTTATTTAATATTTTTTTAGCTTTAGTTTGAATTTGCATATGAGCAGTTGATAATCTGTTCCACAATCAGTACCTGGCCTACTTTTCACAGCTGACACTGAGCTTCTCCAGTGATTTTTTTTTCCACAAATGTAGTTGCTCTGATTTCTGTATGTACTATCAGGTGAAGCCCATGTGTATAGTCACTGTTTACAGGGTTTTTTGTTGTTTTGTTTTGTTTTTTTGGTTTTTTTTTGGTGTACCGTCAAATCAGATCTGACTGGTACAGGAGATTGTTCCTCCTTCTCCAGCAAAGCATCTGGTGGATTTGAACCGCGAACCTCTGGGAGTGCAGTGCAACTTCTTGCCAGTAGGCTACCAGAGCTCGCCTATGTTTCTTATAAAAGGTTTTTGCAATGAATAAATCATTGATTGTACAAAATTCTATTATCCTATCTCGAGCTTCATTTCTGTCACTAAGTCCATGCTTTCTGATTACTGATCTTTCTTCCCTGTTCCCAACGTTTGCATTCCAGTCACCCCTTATTATTAATGCATCTTAGTTGCAAGTTCAATTGATTTTTAACTACAAAAGTTGGTAGAAATCATCTATTTCCTCCTTTTTCGCTCTGGTTATTGGTGCATATATTTGAATGATAGTGGTATTAACCAGACTTTCTTATATGTGTATAGATATTATCCTGTCGTCATGCACAGCCTAATTCAGGCTATGGTCTTTGCAATTACTTCTTATACATCAAAGAGCTGGACAATGACTAGGGTTGATAGAAGAATTGATGCCTTTGAGTTGTGGTGCTGGAGGAGAGGATTGAACATACCATAGACCACAAAGAGAACAAACAGGTTTACCCTGTTTACGGCTGTTCCTGGAGGCAAGGATTGTAAAGCCCCATCTCACATACTTTGGGGATGTGGTCAAGAAGGACCAGTCCTTGGACAAGGATGTCATGATTGGAATGGTGGAGGGACAACACAGGAGAGGAAGACCCTGATGAGATGGACTGATTCAGAGACTGGGGTAAAGAAGGGAGGTGTGCCGGAGACAGTGAGACCAGCTCAGGATAGAGTTCAGAGCCACTGTACACAGCATTGCTACGAATCACAGTAGAATCAATAGCACATAACAACAACAAAATCTTTATGGAAAAAGATCGCTACATCTTTCCCCTGAGGAACCTTTCCATTAACAGGCAACTGCTTTAACCACGTGGCACCAAAGTTCCTGTAAAGTAGATAGGAGAAAAAAAAGTGACACATTTAAGAGAATATGGATACTAATGAGAAAAAAAGCAATGATTGTTTCAAATCAGAAGCAATAGTAGCCGGAAGACAATGGAATAATATCTCTTAAATCTGCATTATTAGTTAAAAATACCTGCTCAGATGCAGCTCTTAGAATATTCTCTATGAGCACTATTGGCTAAGTGGGTTTGAGCACAAAATATTTAGCTACTTGAAGTACATTCCCCTTGTCCTCTGGAAAAGCTCCACTAAAATGTACTATTTTCCAGGAAAAAAACAAATACTTGGTTTAAAATGTTTGTTTTGCTTTGCTAAGCTTCCATCAAAGATACAACTCTAAAACTTTAGATAAAAGCTGACCTTTTTTTGTCAAACTTTTCCATACATTCCAGAGGCTGAATGAACTGCAGAACTTCATCCCATTGGCCATCGAGAATTAGCTGCCTAAAAAGTGAAATAAATGAATAAAAATAAAAAAAGAATTAACTGACTAATACATTTAGAAGAGAACTGAAGATATTTTATTTTTAAAAAAATCAACTGCTTAAATAAAACAAGTATGTTATCAAATTTGAGTTACATTAAATGAAAGCAGAGTAGATGGCAGAAAAATGACAGAAAGCAGGCAAGGAGATTAACATTTTTCCCTCTAATTTTTTTTTTAGTTTTTTTAAACATTTTTTTAAATAATTTTAGTGAACATTTACAGAGATTTTGGATTTCCATTCATTCATTGTTGCACTTTTCTCCCTGCCCAGTCCTCCCACTGCCCCCCACCCCAGTTTGCTCCTCTCTTTGAAAAGTAAAAGAAAAATTCTTTCTTTGATAAACAATCCCCCCACACCCCTCCCACCACCCCAAGTACACTCCACTACGCAACCTTAATTGTGGACTATTGTGATAACCATAATACCCTATCATACATCGCTTTTAAATTATTCTTTCCCTCATCTGTTTCAGTGCAGTATACACAATTTGAGATTAACATTTTACTGCATTCTTCAAGCACAGATAAAGTAAAATTTTCACAGCTTATTTGTAACTACAAATGCCATGTGATAATTTTGAATATGCAACTATTCCATATACTAAGAATACGTGGGGTTTTTTATATTTCTTTAAAGAGTCTAAGCCTAAAAACTCCCGTACTTCTCTATTAGCTTACCATTTGAAAGCTATTATGTTTTCTTTAAGAGCCAATGTGTGAGTATTTTCCACTCTTTCTTATCAGTAGTTTAAGTAAAAAGTGGTTATGTCCCCACAAGGAACTTCCAGCAATGTCAGAATATATTTTTAATTGTCCTAATAACTGTGTTCCTCATTACCTAGTAGATGAAAGTCATTCTTTTATCTACTAGGTAAGCAGGTACATTCTGCAATATATAGGACAATACCCAAAACAAAAAATTACCTTATCCTTTTTTTTTTTTAATTTTGTGTGCGTGTACCGTCAAATCAGATCTGACTGGTACAGGAGGATATTGCGCCTCCTTCTCCGGCAGAGCATCTGGTGGATTCGAACCATGTTCCTCTGGGATTGCAGTGTAGCTTCTTGCCACTAGGCCACCAGAGCCCCCCAAAATTACCTTATCCTAAATGTCAATAGCTCCAAGATAAAAAAACCCTATCTTATACTATGAATTTTTAGGCAATTAATTTAAAAAGTTTGCACTACGAGAAATGGCAATCTAAAATCAGGTGCCTTCATGGTTTCCTGGCCCCATAGAAACTTCTGAAAGTTTCAAGGTATTCATATCTCTCCTCCTATACAACAGCAATTCATTACTTATTGTTAGAACACAAGATTTAAAAAAGGGGATAGATGGGGCAGGAAAATCTACCTTTTATTTTGCAAAGAAGAAATAATTTGTGATTTGTTAAAAAATAGAGTAATAAAAACAATCACAACATACAATGTGACCATTTTTTAAAAAGGCTTATTAATATATTTTGAAGTTGGAAAGACTCAAAAGCCAGCTTTTTAAAATTAATACATTAAGTTAGATGAAATTTTACTGTTCTTAAGTTCTAATGTTAGTTTCTTGAGCAGCACCTGGAGTCTTTAAGTTTGTGAGTAACCATGTAAGACACAACTACGATGCCTTGGAGTTGTGGCATTGGAGAAGGGTACTGAATATCCTATGGACTGCCAAGAGAACAAACAAGTCTGTCTTGGAGGAAGCGAAATCAGACTGCTCTTTGGAGGCAAGGATGGCAAAGCTTCATCTTACATACTTTGGGAATGTTTCTTAAAGGGGGCATTCTTTGGAAAGGTACTTCATGCTAGGAAAGGTGAAGATCACAGAAAGAGAGGAAGACTCAATGAGAATCTGACACACTGAAAAGCAGCAGTGTGGGCTCAAGTGTGTTAGTGACTAAGAGGCTGACACAAGCTGGGACAGGACAGGGTTCAGATCTGTTGTTCACAGAGTCACTATGAGTCATACTTGACTTGAAGTTATATAACAACAACAACTAGTATCTATTCATCTGGCGAGCAAAAGAGAAAAAAAAAGGAAGCCAAAAACTCTGAGAAGAAACTAGTCTACAGGACTAACAGTCTACATGGGCCTCATTTGTCCTGAGACAAGACAAGAGCCACAGTAGAGAGATCTTAACAGAACTGAAGCAAAATGTGGAATAATTCTATCACCCTGAGCGAGATATCTTTAAAACTTGAACACTATCCCTTGAGATAACCTTTTACTCAAACTCAAACTCATTGTCGTGAGGTTGGAACCAACTAATAGCTGACCCATCTGCAGGTTTTCAGAGACTGTAAACAACACGGGAGGAGATCACCCAGCTGGTGGATTAAAATCACCCACCTTTGGGTTGGTAGCACAACTCACTACCCACAAGGCTACCAAAGGCTACCTTTTACCAAAATAAAAGAGTACCTTGTATAATAACCCATGATTCAAGTTACAGCCCATGACCACTGAATTCCTTGGAAAAAAAATTCATCTATATGAGACCAAATGGTTGGTTGTTTCCCTAATGCAAAGATGAAACAGTAAAGAAGCAGAGAAATGAGATTAGTGGAAATCATACAATTTTAACAGAATCACTGTATTTTACACAAATAACATACACTTGAAATGTATGCTATACAAAAAAATTCTTAATTTTTTTCAAACTACCTAATCCCTTTGCACTTTACTCTCCTATGCACACTGAACATGTTATACAAATGGGTGAGTTATATGTGAAATACAGTAATTAGAATGTAGACACATTGTGGGAAACATAACCAATGTCACGAAAGAATTTCTGTAGAAATTGTTAAATGAGAACCTAATTTGTTGTGTAAACTCTGATGGAAAACGCAATACAATACTTAAAAAGAAAAAAAAAAAAACCCTTTACTATTGTTTTTCTTTTTTTTTTTTTTTTTCATTTTACTTCAGACCAGACCATGACAAACCAACAGGTTCCTAAGAGGAGCACTTCAAAGAGTGCTACAACTAAATATTAACTCTATGAACTTCGATAAATGTTGATAGTTGTAGAGAGGCTTCAGGCCTTTTTTTCATAGGGTTGCTGAGTCGTACTCGACTTGAAGGTAATCAACAAAGACAACAATGCTTAAAAGTTGGGTTTAAAAGAACTGTACTGGCTCCCAACTACACTGCTGACTAGGGTTTCTGGGGCTGCATGACATATGTAATATAAAACACAAGTATGTCAAGAGGTCAAATAAATTCCGTGAACATGCTGTTGTTATTATGTGCCATGGAGTCAGATCCAACTTGTCGCTGACCCTCCAGTGAGCTTTCAAAGGCGGTTATAACTGTCCAGGAGGAGACTGTGCATCTTTTCTCCCTCAGAGCATCTGGTGGATTTGAACATGTGCCTTTGGACTGGTAATGCAACTCCTTACCCTCTAGGCCACCAGAGTGCCCTTTCCTAAACATAACAAAGCCTAAAAGAGTTAAGGGAAAGGCAACATACAATATTTTTACCAAGAATTTTAATCAATTAATTATATTAATCTATTGTAATTTCCTGTGATTAAGGAAGATCTGGCAGTCTGATGGGTAGGGAGTTGTGCTGCCCACACAAAAGCGGGAAAGATGGATAATCTCCTCTTGTGTGATTTACACTTCTGAAAACCTAGTGGAGGGTCACCTATGTGTCACTGTGACTCAAATGCACAGTACCATCCTGGCTTGAAGAATTATAATAACAAATTGTTATAACAAGTGATTGTAATTAATGTTATAAAAATGTATACAAATGATCAAATGAAACTGTAATTATGTTATAAAGCAAGATGTATATAAATGATCAAGTAAAAAACCAGTATGATTTGTAAACTTTCCCTCAAATAAAAAAGAAAAAGTAAAGCTTAAAGGAAAATTCTTTTGTCATTAGTTAAGAACACTTCATTACTTTCCAAGTCACAAAACACCAGATGTCCAATAATCTGTTCTCTTTGATAAGGATATACAGTCTCAAACAAGTATAGACTATACTTACATTTGGAAATTTGAGTTTTTCTTTTTCTAGCCAATTCAAATGAAGACATATTTAGATCTCCATTTTGGAAAGCATATTCATTCCCTTTGATTGTGCAATTCCATATCTAAGAATCTGTTCTTAGGAAATAATCCAAATCACAGAAAAATTCTCATGTATAAAAAATGCTCAGGAGAGCAATTTACCTAATATGATATTGTAGAATTATCTAAAAGCAAGAATTTTATTAATTTACTAAATTTTTTAAAATGTGTTTATAAATTCATAATTACAGGGGAAGTTCTTCAAATGTTAATAAAGCAAAACCCTAATTTATGGGTTCAAGAGAATCATTATTTTTACACATGCACAGAAAAAAAAATTGCCACCAAGAGTGTGCCCAAGTGGTGGGGTGATTTTTCTTTATTTAATACAATTTCTTTTTAAATTTTAAATAAAGAACATGTTTCTACAGTGAGTATATTTTATTCCTATGGCCAAAATTACTTTTTTTCTGAAATATTATATCTTGTAAGAGTCTCTAATTCTTAATATCCCATTTGACGAATAGTCATGAAGGAATTGTGACTGTTGGGACTTTTCCATTTCTTTCTTTGTTTTATTTTTTGGGATTTTTTTTTCCTTTCATTTCTTAAGCTGAAAGAATTGAAAAGAAAATTTAAGTCTTGAGTTGCAATACTTAAGGATGCTATGGGTAGAATACTGAATGATCCAGGAAGCATTAAAAGAAGAGAGAAGGAGTATATAGAGTCACTGTGTCAAAAAGTGGCTGACACAGAAGAATTTCAAGAAACAACATATATTAAGAGACAATGGTGATGAAGGAGGAAGTTCAAGCTGCTCTGAATGAGTTGACAAAAAAACAAGGCCCCAAGAATTTGATGGAATACGAATTGACATATTTCAACAAACGCAAATTGCCCAGGCCAATGATAGATGGAGAAAATATTGAGGTTGTTAACAATTACAGCTTGTGCGGCTCCACAATCAACACTCTTGGCACCAGCATATATCTGCTTGGGTGGTGGTTATGGTTTCTTTGCAGTATATTCCCAGTAGTGGAATTGCTGGGTCAAATGGTATTTCTATTTGCAACTTTTTGAGAAAGTGCCATACTCCCTTCCATAGTGGTTGTACCATTTTACACTCCCACCAACAGTGAATAAGGGTTCCAGTTTCTCCACAACTTCGCCAGCATTTGTTGTTTGCTATTCTGTTAAATTTTGCTATTCTAACTAGGGTGAGATGATATCTCATAGTTGTTTTGGGAGGCAAGGATTCTGAAGCTCTGTCTCACATACTTTGGGCCTGTGGCCTGGAGGAACAAGTCCATGGAGAAGAGTATCATGCTCAGAAGGGTGGAGGGACAATGCAGTAGAGGAAGACCCTGAAAAAGACAGACTGACACAGTAACTGGGGTAATGATAGTAGACATGTGAGAGACAATGAGACTGGCTCAGGACAGAGTTCAGAGCTACTGTACACAGGGTCACTATGAATCACAGGTGACTCAATAGCTTATAACAATAATAATGGTAATTAATTTCATTTCAGGTAGTTAAATGTTCTCACGTGGCATTGAGTTGGCTCCAACTTATAGCAACCCCTTCTACAACAGAACGAACCCTGCTGTATCCCATGCCATCCTTACAATCTCTGTTGTCCTTAAGCCCATTGTTGAAGTCACTGCATCAATCTATCTCATTGAAGGTCTTCTCTTTTATTGACCTTCTAATATTCCAAGTATGATGTGTTTTTCCAAGGACTGACCCTCCTGACAACATGCTCAAAGTATATGAGGCGAAGCTTCATCATCTTTGCCTCTAAGCAGCAGCCTGGCTGCACTTCCTCCAACATGAACTTGTTTGTTCTTTCAAATACTCAGTACTTTTCTCCAAAAACATGATTCAAAAGCATCGATTCTTCTTCTGTCATCCTTGTTCATCGCCCAACTTTTTAGTAGCAGTCCAGTGTTCCTTATACTCAACCAGGTCTACTTTCTAATTTTCTTTCCTTGCTTTATTGTGGCAAATTATACACACATACACACACATACATATATACACACATATATATGTATATATATGTGTGTATATATACATATATATAAATAAACAATGACTGAGGATGACAGAAGAAGAATAGATGGATGCCTTTGAGTTGTGGTGTTGGAGAAGAGTCCTGAACATACTATGGATAGCCAAGAAAACAAATGGATCTGTCTTGAACAGGGTGAAGCCAAGTCTTTCCATGGAGGCTAGGATTTTGAAATTCTGCCTCACTTACTTTGGGCATGTGGTCAGGAGAGATTGGTCCTTGGAGAAGGGCATCATGCTCACAGAAGGGTTGACGGACACGGCAGGAGAGAGAGACCCAGGATGAGATGGATTGACGCAGTAACTGGGGCGATGGGGGTTGGTGTGTTGGAGTTAGTGAGACTGGCTCAGGACAGGGAAGGGTTTAGAGCTGCTGTACATAGGGTGGCTGTACATCACAAGCGACTCAACGGCATATAAAAGCAATAACATACTGTGACAGGTTTGGAAGCAGGAATGGCATCCACTTCCTAAATAACAGGCCCCCAGAAACCCTATGAACTTCAGTAAATGTTGATAGTTGTAGAGGGACTTCAGGTCTTTTGTTCATGGGGTCACTATGAGTCGTGCCCGACTGGAAGGCAATCAACAACAATAATATATATATATATGTATGTGTTGTTGTTAAGTGCCGTTGATTCACAGGCAACTCTTAGCAACCCTGTGAATGAAAGATCGAACACTTGTATAAGTTACATTGTTTCTCCAGGTTCATAGCATTTCCAGAGGCAAGCTCTTTTGAAAGTGGATGCCACTCCTGCTTCCAAGCTTGTTTTAATTGGGGAGCTCCACCAAACACTGTCCACCATGGGTAACCATTATTGCATTTGACAAATCAGTGTCACAGTGTTCAGCATCACAGCAACCACGAGTTACCTCTGTACAGCAAATGAACAGACCAGTGCTATACCATTTAGAATAATGTTTGACCAAAAACAATCAAAACCAGGCCTGAGGGTCACAGATTAAAATCACCCACCTGTGACATGGTAGCATAACTTTCTATCCACCAGATCCTCAGAGCTCTCTCTGTGTTGGTGTTGGCATTGTTAAATGCCATCAAGTTGTAGACGCCTCATAGTGACCCTATGAATGAAAGACCTGAACACTTATATAACTTACATCATTTCTCCAAGTTCATGGAGTTTCCAGAGGTGGGCGTGTGCGTGTGTGTGTGTGTGTGTGATAATATTTGCTAATTCAATTTTTTTTACATGTACTCCAATGGCATCATATTGTACAATCATCACCCCTATCCTTTTCCAAACTATTCCACAACCATTGAAACACAGTGCCCTCCCCAAGCAAAGACTTCTCTTTCTTTGCCCCCCACATCTGGCAATCATTAAAAAACTTTAGTCTCTACACATTTGCCTATTTTATATAAGTAGAATAACACAATATTTGTATTTTTGCAACACGGATTAATCTTGAAAATATCAAGCTAAACAAAATAAATCAGGGCCTCTGGATCTTATGACAGAAAATATTTTTCTGCTGATGTTCCTATATAAACAAAGTTTTTTAAATTACCTTTATATACCTCTCATGATTATATGGTTCCATATATATTATACACGTTGTTGTTGTTACGTGCCATCGAGTCGCTCGCGACTCATAGTGACCCTATGTACAACAGCCCTAAACCCTGCTCTATCCTGTGCCAATCGCACTGCCTCTGACACACCCATCCTGATTACCCCAGTCACTGAATCAATCCACCTCATAGAGGGTCTTCCCCTCCTGCGCTGTCCCTCCACCCTCCCAAGCATGATGTCCTTCTCCACATTATACACATTATCCTATTTATATTTAACACTTCTTTAAGAGAGCTGGAAAACTGCCAGTGTAAATGATATCATACCTCAAGAAAAGCATATCATCTGAAAATAGGCCATTGATGACTCCACTTTCCTTCTCCAGGGCCAACATACTAATATGAAGCTTCTTTGAATTCAGGAAGTCCAAAATTAACTTAATGATTTCAACTTCTTTTACATTTACTGTTTCCTCTGCCGTCATGTTGATAACCTAAATAGTAAACAACAGAACAACAAAGAAATTAGTCCTATTGTTTTGTACTAAGTTTAACTGCTGAGAAACAACACATAATCAGTTTCTTGGAAATTTTTAGTATAGGTATTTTGAAATTAGTGCATTTAATAATTATCAAACCCAAATTAATTATTTAATATGTAATAATAGTATGACTGGTTTTTAAAAAAACCTTTTAAGATACACTTCAAATAGTTACAAAGGAAACGATATAAATAAATTCTAATTTGCTTAAGACAAGAGAAGGGAATAAAAGGTATCCAAATAGGCAACGAGGAGGTAAAATTATCCCTCTATGCTGATGACATGATAGTATACTTAGAAAAC